ACCAGCCCCTGGTCAGTTAGAGACGTAGACTGCAGTCGATGACCCTCCTCGGTGTGGAGGGGAAGCCCGCTCTGGGCCGAGAGCCTGCCTGCGGCGACGAGGCAGGGACGGTGGCGGTGGGTCCTTCGGGGCTTCTGGCCTGGAGCGCGCTGTCAGCAGTCTCAGGTCCTTGCACAGCGGAGGAGGCCTTGACACCAGCAGCCCTGGGGCACAGGTTAGGGCCCGTGCCTCAGCCCTGTGCCCTGGCGTGGGGACCCTGGCAGGAAAGTCCCCGCTGCCACCTGGTCCCCGCAGGAAGCTCGAGCTCTTCGGGAGGAGCCCTGTGCCATCCGGGGGCAGCGGGGAAGTCTGTCCTGGCATGGACTTCGATTTCCTCACCTGGAGAATGGGCACCATCTGGGAAAGGCACAGATGAGGCGGGAAGTGAGTTAGGGAACCTGGATTGGGCCGGCCGTGGTGGCTGCCTCTCCCTCGCACTGAGCCAGTGAGTGACCGGCCTGGCGTGCACACTCAGCACATGGCAGCTGTTCCTGTTTGTCCCGGGCACGCCAGTGCGCCAGCTCTGCACAGGGCACCCCGGGGAGCCAGGATCGTCGCCCTTCATGCTTCGGCAGTGTCTCTGGGACTCGCTGTGAAACAGCCCACCAGGGACGCACCAGTGCAAAGCAGAATGTGGTTCTGGGCGGATATGATGGTAAATGTTGGGGGCAGAGGAGACGTGGAGCTACAGGCCCAAGGAGACTGCTGTGTGTTCCCCGAGTGGTGGGAGAGCCCTAGGAGCTGGCAGCTCCCCAGGCAGCAGGAAGGGGGTGGGAGGGAGTGTCTGTCATCAGGAGCCACATTCAGTTGCTGGCGAATCACAGACACATCCCTTGTTCCCATTTGCACAAAAGAAGGTAGAAGGAAGGCGATCCCTTTCCCTCCCTCCGCTGCACTGGCCTCGGCTCCCAGGCAGGTCCACCTGAGCGATTCCTGCTCTGATACGCGGCTACAGCTGGGAGCCCCTGCCTCTCACCTTTCCACCCCCCGGGGAAGGCTTCCCTCGGGCCGGTGGCTCGGCTGTGGACGGGCCGGGCCGTGCCCCGCACACCTCCTGGCACACGGAATGCCCTCAGAACCCGGGGAAGCACTCTTCCCTCCAGCTGCCCCCCTCCGCTCCCCCGGAAAGTGGATTCGTAGTCCGAGGTGCTCCTGGCAGCGGTCCTGGTGGTGGCGAATGGGGGCCTCTCTGTGCACAGAATCACCTCCCGCTGCAGCCCGCGGGCAGCCAGGATTCCGTGTTCCAGGCACGCACACGTCAGGTGGCCTGGGCAGCAGCACCTCCGTGTTTGTTTTTGGTTTTGTTTTCAGACACAGGGAATGCATTTTATACAGCCCTGTGGGGGGGGGGGGGCAGGGGGCACATACGGAATGCATTTATACAGTCCGGGGGGGGGGGCAGGGGGCCCCATAGGGAATGCATTTGTACAACCCTTGGGGGGCGCAATAGGGAAGGGCTATAATACACCCGGGGGGCCGGGGTGAAGAAAGAAACCACGATAGAATCATCCTGAGTACTTTCTAAAAATGGACTATTTCCAAACATGAGTCCATTATGATAATAGCCTTCAGGTCTTTCCTTACCAGACACAAGTTCCCTAATCGAGTTGGTGGGAAGTGCAGTAAGACAGTGTGGCTGTTTCCCAGCTCTCTCCAAAAATGACACTGATTCTCAACAGTAGAGAAGACAGATTGAGCTGAGCCCTCCCATCACCCCCTTCCCCTCATCCCCCCCCCGCCCCCCCCATTCCTGGGAAAGCAGCCTAAATGGTTAAACTGCACAAAATGTAGATCAGATCAGAATGGTGTCTGCCTTCTGTGACCGCTCCTCTTAGTCTAGACTGAATGACCACATTCACTCTCTGCTGGTTCTGGGCCTGGAGGGGGCCGGGCTGTGAACAGGGAGAGACCATGTGGCCCAGCTCCTCCCCGTCTCCCAGGCCGGGCAGGACCACGCCCCAGTCTGTGCCGGCGTTGCCAGGGCAGGGACCTGCCGGGCTCTGAACAGGCAGGACGGCTGCGCTGCCCCTTCCCTCCTGGCAGTCCTGTTGCGCGCTGCCGGTCCTCAGCTCCTCTGTCACGGGTCCTCTCCGCGGGCTTGTGCTGCCGTTCACAGAGCTCAGTCCCTTCCCAGTGGAGGGGACAGTCCTGAGTCCTCACCACCACCCGAGGGCTGTGGGGCATCTCCTGGCCCTTGGTCGGTGGCCTCAGGGTGTCTGGGGCAAGCAGGAGGCGCAGAGCGCCTGTTGGCTGTGATTCCAGAGGGCCCTTTGGCACAGGCTCATGAATGAGGCAGCCAGGAGGTGTGGATTGGATAGGCCAGCTGGGGCTTTGGATATTAGGTGATGACGACCGTGAAATGTGCCGTGTGGGTGACCACTTCACCTCAAAGGACACCCGGAGTCTCCTCCATTTCAGCTCTCCCACCCTTGACCCTCTGCGTGGCCTTGAACGCACTTTTCATTGCCGGCTCCAAGCAAGTGGAAACCACTCATATTTCTCCTATCTACTCCCCTCCCTCCCCCCTCGTGTGTGTGTGTGTGTGTGTCACAAGCCAAGCCCAGGGGCCAGGGATGGGGGGTGTAAAATAGCAAACAAAACATGCTTGGCTCCACCCCCCAGGTGGTTGCATGGTGATTCTCCCCCACACACCCTCTGGCCTGGAGGAGGGGTGCCTGGGGTAAGGACCCGTCACCCACGTAGGATGTTTCCTCACCCGAGCGCCCTACTTTCCTCCTATAAACGTGGTAAAGGAAAAAGAAGGCTCATCAGCAGATACGTGTCGTGTGCCCACTCTTTGCCCAGCTTCCTGGCTTGTCATCTGATTGGGTCACCAGGCTTCGGGCCTGGCGCTGGCGTGGCATTGCGTGCAGCCTGGGGTGGGGAGCAGCTCGCTGGAGAAGAGCCTTTCCTGGGGAAACAGCGGGACCCCTGGGTTGAAGTTAGAAAAAAGGTTTAAGTCGTGAAAAGACGAATGTTTATAAATCAGTGTTTTCTGCAAATGGGGTGAATTGACTGGGGCAGTTAGCAACTGCCCGTCTCGGGAAGGCCTTAGCAAAGTCAGAGCGGGGAGGACCTGTGATGTCTGTGCCTGCCAGGACTCTCGGGGTAACTAGGAATCACTCTAAGGGGGACTGCACAGGTGAACAGAGATGCGTGTGGGACAGTATTCGCCGCGGCCCTGCTTACCATGAGAGAGGACCGGAGGCCACACGCGCACGGCAGGGGCCTGGTAAATAATTATGGCACAGCCACACCCCGGATGCTGTACCTCATCCATTTAAAATTCCAAGGGGTAGCCTTAAATGGAAAGGGAATTCCTCCATCAGTGGGGAGGTGGGATCCATTCATAGATTTGATTACATGCAGTGGATGGACCCAGAAGGACACTGGAGAAACTGGTTATACTGGTTTCCTCCAGAGAAGAACGAGGCCGTGCAGGCAGGAGACTTTTCTCTCAATGTCCTTTTGTACCTTTTGAATCATGTGGATGCATTCATTACCTGTCACAAAATAAATGTGAGAAAAATATGTTTTAAAACGTTAAAGATAAGTTTCACTGGGCTAGAGCATTCAGATACCGGAGGGACACGGAAAGCGGACCGACCTTGTATGGAGCATCTTCTGTGAGCCAGGGTTTCGGCCGGATGCTTTACAAACACGATACTCCTGGTCCACACAACCCCTCGTGGGAGGCAGGACCTGTCCCTGCGTTACAGACGGAACACGGAGGCACTGGTGTTGAGAGCCCACTTGTCCACCTGGGCCGTTCCCCGCCGCACCGCGCTGCCTGCTGAGGGGGAGCCTGTGGGGTGCTGCTGCCGGCCTCGGCCTCGGCCACGGCCCCACCGGTCAGCTGTCCTGGTCCCTCTGCTTTTGCTGAGCCCAGGGTGGAGTTCACAGTGTTGGTAGCAGGCAGTCATTTCTGCAGCTGGAGAATGCCCCTTCCAGGCTGGGCGGGGGGAGAGGGGGGCAGGGCAGGGCCGGCTGCCCTGAGCTCTTCTCCCGGGCGTCAATGTGCCAGCTTTGTCTGCCAGCTGCAGGCTGGCTGGAGAGCGGCTGTTTTTCTGATTGTCAGACCCAGGCTCCTCGCTTGCACTTAGAGGAGAGCTTCCAAGCCCTGGTACAAAAGGTTCTCTTTCCATTTTTTTTGGAAAAAGAGCAAGTGAATGAGCTCATGATCACTGCAACCCAGAAAGGAGGAGGGGAGGAAGAGGAGGTGGCCCCTCGCCACCTAGGCCTGCGGCCCCTGGCCAGGTTTCCTGGGGTGGGGGGCTTGGGCCTGGCTCGGGGTGACCGAAGCCAGGTGGCTGGGACAGGTGGTCCATACCGGGCCAGAGCTGGAGACATGAGACGCGTTGAGACCAGCCGTCTGCTGCGGTCCTGAGGACAAGTGTCCGGCCCTTCGCATCCCTGACGCGGAGCTCTGTCCAGGACGGCTGGCCTCCAGGGAGCAAAAGGCCCTCCTCTCAGGGTTACGTGCTCGTCTCCGACCTGGAAAGCGGCCGCACCTGAGCTGGCGGTCATGTGGTATTGGTGCTCTGTTGAGTGCTTCCGACTTGCCACTGCTCTAGGCACATGGGCCGCTGCGACGAAGCTGGCCGCCTCGCTCGTGGGTCGGAATGCTGGCGCGTGCAGGGTAGTGTGCCAGGCCTGGCCTGCTCCCACCCTCTGCCCAGGCCTGCCTGGTCCGGGAGAATTGGGGGTGATGCACGCGTGCCTTGGAAGAGCGGCTCTTTGGCATCTCCACCCGCTCGCGCCCTTCAGAGCCTGTCTTCAGGCCCTGCCTGGCCGTGGCCATTGTGGGCTTTTCTCCGTCTGTGGCAGCTCCCGGTGCCCTGCAGGTTGGTGCTCCCTTGGAATCTCGGAGGAGCCCGGAGGCCTGCCCGGTGCACGGACGGTGAGCTGCCCCTGCTGAGCCCGAGCCTGACGCCTCTCCTTTCTGTTCCTCTTTGTTTCAGATTGAGAAGATCATGAGCTCCATCGGAGAAGGGATTGACTTTTCTCAGGAGCAGCAGAAGGTCTCAGGTACGAACCGAGCCGCCTCCCACGAACACAGGCCTTGGTGCCCTTCCGCCCTGGGCTCCTCTGGCACCGAAGGTGGAGAGAGGGGCGAGAGGTCAGCCTCAGGCCACGGTGCCCCCACTCAGCCACTCCTTGTCCCGACAGCCCAGCTCGCTGTCCTCGGTGGGGCCACGGCTCCTCTTACAGATGGGAGGGGGCTGTGTGCACGTTGAGTTTCAGTCTGCCTATTCAGAAACTACATTTCTAATGAGCAGCCGTCACTCCTCATTCTTGTCATGAATGTGGGCTTTCTCCGAGGAGATGACACCAGAGCTTCTCGGTGTTGGGCTCCCCACTGGGGGCCTCGCTCAGCCCAGGCCCGGCCGCGGCTGTGAGCGGGCATCTCCCCAGGGGTCGGCTTTGCGGCTTCCTCCTGTGTCTTTCTCCATTTCCTCAGTCGCTCGTCTTTCACTTCAGCTCACTACTCCTTTGGGTGTTTTTTCCATCTCAAAGCCTCAGGAGTGAGGTCTGCTTCTTTCCTTCACTTGAAACAGGGGCCAAGGAGGCCTTATCTGAGCTGTTGTCCTTGATTGTGGCTGTTACTTTCTTAGGTCAGGTGACACTTAGAGGTGCCTCTCAGAGTAGCGCTCACGTTGCCCGTCCCCCATCTCTGCCCCTTACAAGGAGAGGCCTCCTGCACCGAAGGGATAGGCTTCCTCGCTTGCTCGGGGGCTCCATCCAGGGCTGACCCGTTAGCACCAAGTTACCTCCGGTTCCTCGTGGGCCCCTGGCCCTGCCGGGAAGTCTGGTGGGTGGGGTGCGTGTGCACGTTGGGGAGAAAGGACCTGCTGCGGCCTGGGCTTGTGGAGGGAGTACAGGCCTGGGGCCCCGTCCTGGGTTCCAATCGTGGTTCTAGATCCATGTGTCTCAGACAAGCCACTAGCCTCTCTGAGCCCCGACTCCCGCCATTGGCCTAACAGTCCCTACACATAGGTTGTGGTACTGAGTGACGTGTGCAAATATTCGAGCTGGAGACACTCAATGAACAGTGGCTGTGCTTGCTTCCACCCCTGAAACCACTGCCGACGCGTCCGGAGAAGCCTAGAGAGGAGGGGCATCTGCCCGGCTTGTCTCCATGCCATTCTCAGACTGGGTTCCCAGGCGCCCTCCCTCCAGCAGCCTTGCTTCCCTAGGTCCCAGCAAGCACAGCTGGCTTTGGTCTGTCTGTGTCTGTCTTGGATTGTGGAGGGTCCACAGAGGGGCTCTCTGGCTTGTGGCCTTGTCTGCAGGCACTTGCTGCACTCGGCTGTAGTGTGCAGGCCTGACCAAGGGTCAGATGTCTGAGGGACAGAAGTTCAGGGCTGAGACCAACACCGCCGCCCTTCAGAGCTCTCCCAGGGATGGGTGGGCCCCTCCAGGGATGGGTGGGCACCTCCAGGGATGGGTGGCTGACAGTTCAGCCGAGGCCAGTCTTGCTCCTGCACCCTCTGTATCAGAGGGGCCCCACCTCCGGGTGCTTGAGAGCTTGGTTGTGCAGTCACCTCGGCGTGGCTCCGTCGGGAGATCAGCTGCACCTCTGGAAACAGAGGAGCCCTTGTCCTTGGAGGCGCGTGGAGCCCTTCCTTTGCCCGGCCGGCTCTTGCCCCCATGACCCATGTGAGTGGTGGGAGCTGGTTGGCCCCACTACCCCCCTAGGTTCCTGGATCCCAACACGGTCTTGCTTTCATACTCACAAGTTGACTCATCCTCATACCCCAGCTTAGGATGTCAAAGGCAGGCTCCCGAGGGTGCCACCGGGACAGCGTGTCCACCATGCGGCCGATCCCCGCCCACGTGCCCGGCCCCTGCCAGGCGTGACGTGTGGAGAGGGTGGGCTCAGCCTGCCTGGCACTCTGCTTTCTGTCTGAGGGTCAGGAGGGGGCTTTCGCCAGGACCCCAGGGAGCACCAGGCCTCGGCCCAGAGCAGGGTTCTGGTTTATTTTGATGGTCAGTATCGGGGTGCAGGTTGTCCTTGGGCTTCTGGATCCCAGAGAAGGGCCTGAGCTCGGGTTTGCCAGCCTGGCTGGGGGAGCAGCCAGCCCTCAGCTGAGCGTGGGGTTGCCCGGCGAGACCTCTGTGGCACTCGGGTCTCAGTCCTGTTTGGGGCCGTGAGCCCCTGAGCTGCCAGCATTGGAGCCAGTTCCCTGAATCCCGACAGACGTCGTTTCCAGCTCACCCCACATCACGAGTCCAGGGGGGTGAGCCTGCCCGCCGGCCAGGCCACTCTGGCTTTGTTCTGTCAAGCGGAAGAGACCGCTTGGCTTTCTTCTTTTCACCAGCCATTCTCGCTGTCGAGTAGCCGCCGAATGCCTGCTCCCCCGGGGCCTCCTCCCCGCGCCAGTCCCCGTGCCAGGGCCGGCAGCAGCCTGTTGGGTGCAGTCCCCAGCATGCCGAGAGGTGGCATGTGGTCCCTGGGTGTCTTCTGCACATGTTACCTTTCCTGTCTCCACAGCTGGACTTGGGGCTTGGTCCTGGCTTCCCCAAGTCCCCGGTGCCGCCCCTCGGGTGCCTCCTTCAGGTTGTGGGCAGCCTGCTCAGGGGGCTTCTCCCTGCGCTCCCGCAGGCCGGAGAGGTCGCTCCGGGCTGTTCGGGGCTGTTCGGTGCGCTCACCTGAGGAGTATCAGGTGTCACCTCCTTACTTGGTCACTGTTTTTGTGATTCCTGTGATGCCTCTTGGCAGAGAGGCACAGTCACTCCTTAACCCCTGGGCTGTGTCTCTGGGCGGTGACCTTCCTCTGTCCCCTCTCTGGCCGTCCTAGGAACCGCCAGCCGGAACTATAGGAATGTTCTTCTCTACCCTCCCTGAGATCCCTTCCTGCCCTTTGCGCTGGCGGGTGTGGGCCAATGTCGGATGTTGGGAAATCTGTCGTTTTGCTCGGCTGCTCGTGCTGCTGTGTCCTCCCTCGGCGGTGACGGCAGCAGCAGCCTCTGCTTCGATGTCCGATCCCTGATGTATTTCCTGAGCGTGGAGGGGAGGAGGGGAGGAGGAGGGGAGGGCCAGGCATTATGAGAGTGAGCAAGGACTGTGGAGCGGCCGGCAGCAGGCGGCGTGGAGCCCAGGAGCCTGTAGACAAAGCCCTCTGCTGCGGCTCTGTGAGCGCACACACCCTCTGGCAGCCGGCAGCACCACAGCCCGGCCCGGCCCGGCCCGGCCCAGCGGGATCACAGGCAGGAACCGGGAACTCCTGACTTCACGGGTGGACGAGAGCCTGCTGCGTAGGTCCCTGGAGCAGACAGCCCGCTCAAGGGCAGGGCAGGCACCTCAAGTGGCCCCGGACCCGGCATCTTGGGCTGCCGTGCGCGGGAGGCCGCGTCCCCGGCCACCATCTGTTCAGCAGAGGACAGATGAGGGGCAGCCTGGGACCCTGGGTCCCCGGGGTCTCCTAGACAACCATGCCCGTGGCCTTGGCTGCCCCGAGGGCAGAAGTGCCAGGAACAGCAGGATGACTTCCACCAGCAAGACTGCCAAGAGTTCTCTGGAGGTGATGCTTTCGTAGTTGTTCTTCTCTTCCTTCCTCACGCCTCTCTCCTCCCCTGTTCTTTCCCCCCCTTCTATCTGTGCTTGCCCGTGAGCACCAGAGAAGTAGGTGGGGGTTAAGGCGTTCCGCTCCAAGCGCCCTCGGTCTGCCGGGAAGGGCTGGACTTCCTCCCTCGCCCCACCTCCCTGCCCTCCCTGAGGAGCACGTCGGGATCCGGAGACCCCGGAGGACTCTTGCTGCCTTTATCCCTCGGCCGGCGGGCGGACAGCACGGAGCGTGCACAGACTTAAGCCGCCAGCGCGGCGGACAGAGGACTGCTTCCTTTTCTCTTATCTGGCTGGGCTTTCTCATCTTTAGCCAAGAACTGGGTCTGCCTGCCTGCTTTCCACCTGGGCAGGCAGGTCAGTCACAGGAACAGCCACAATCCGAGGAAAATGAACACCCAGCCCCTGCACACCCGCCCTGCCCGGGAAGGCAGCCCTTCAGACAGCGCCCTGGCCCGGGAGACGCCCCGCTCGCCGGCGCCCGGGGTCTAGCGTGGACCTGGCTCCTGGCCCGCTGGCCGCACAGCGGGCGGAGTGCGATGTCGCCGTCCCAGCAGAGCACCCGGAGCCTGGTCTCTGAGCCCTGGCCCGCGCGCCCGGCGCCGCTCCTCGCTGCCTGAGCCTCTGGCACAAAGGGCCATGGTTTGCTTGTTCCGGGACTGTTGGGGGAAAACAAGTAAATGCCTCTCCTCCCTGCCGTGTGCGCTGCTGCTTGGGTGCATGTGCTGTGTCCCCGGCTGCATGAAGATGCGTGTGCTCTCCTGACCCGTGTGTGCTGCAAGGTCGCAGGACTGGCCCCGCGCATGGATGACAGGCGCTTCCAGCCCCACTGGTGCCCGTGGGACCGGACTCTGTGAACTACCTCAGTGTGAACGCTGATGAGGAGTTGACCTGGAGACCCTTGGGGGTTAGCTTCCCGGCCGGTGGGCAGAGGCCGAGGGGTGAGCGGCCCGTGCCGAGGTTGTGGGTGTGCACGGCGCCTGGCGGGCTACCCCGCCCGCACACGGACGAGGCGCTGCGGGTCCTCCGCTCTCGTCTCTCGTCCGTGGTTTGGCTGCTTTATGGTAATGACTATGATGTGGCAGTGCCATCTGTCTTCCTCTGAGTGCCGCTGCTGCCTTAATGGTTTTTCCCTTTTCAAGCGTCTGCCGATTCCTCTCTCGGCAGGTTCGCGGGCGCTGGAGCAGAGCGTCGGGGCGTGGCTGGCGGCGCTGGGCCTGCAGCAGTACGAGAGCAGGTTGCTTCTGAACGGCTTTGACGATGTCCGCTTCCTGGTAAGTGCGAGGCGGCGGGGCGTGGGAGCCGCTCCTGCTGCCGGCTGAGGTCTGGAACCACGCGGAGCCGCGACCAGGGCAGAGCTGAGCCACGGTCTGAGCCGCTGTGCCATGTGCCCTTTCTGGACTGTCCCTCTCCTCTGCTCCCGAAACTCCTGGAGGGAGAGCTCTGTGCAAGTCTGTGTCCCCAGGAGGAGGTCCCTGACCGCAGCCCTCCGTCCCCGCCTGTCCCTCTCGGAGTTGGGGCCAGGTGTGGTGTGGCGAGGTCTCGGCCGTCTCGTTCCAGTCAGACAGGAGTTTTGGTGGACGGAACAGCCAGGTCCCTGTGCTGACTCCCCTGTCTCTGCCGGATACTAGAAGTTTCCTTTGTTCACCAGAACTTTGCAGTCCAGCAAGTAGGCACTGAGCAAGTCGTTGTCCGGGTGGCTGCATGGCACCAGGGGCCCGGTGCCCAGGGTCTCGCAGCGGCCCCGACAGAGGCCGAGTTGGGGTTTGGAGGGCTGGCTGCTTCTCTGAGGTGTAACTTCGTGCTCTTCTTACAAACACAAGGTTGAAACAGAAAGGAAAACCTGGGTGTCCTTCCTCAGGCTCCCGTGAGGAGGGCTCCCTCCGGCGGAGCGAGACCTCCCCGGGGGACACAGCTGGGCGCAGCGACCGGCCCCTCGGGGCGGCATGGCCTCTCACCGGCCTGCTGTGTGCTGGGCGCCCTCTGCAGTGGCGTGCGTCGGCTCACTGGGCTTCCCAGCAGCCCGGGGTGAGCTCTCGTGTTGGCACCTCCGTTTCCCAGCCCCAGCGCAGGAGGGGCCTCTGGTGGTCACAGCGCCAGGAACCGGCAGCGGAGGAGCCTGCACCAGGCACTCTGGGCCCGAGGGTCCGGCTCTGACACGGAGCCACACGCCCCTCTTACACGTGGATGTGGGGAGTGGGTGTAACCACTCATGTGCTTTCAGTCGCCCGTCTTGCATGTGTTACCTCAGGAGCTTGGTTTGAGGGGAACTTGGCAAGCCTCCCTGCCCGCCTCTCCCTGCCCCCTGGCAGGCCTGCCGCCTGCCCGCACAGTCCCGGGAACGCAGTCCTGACGTGGCATCGAGCGGCCTTTTCTCTCGGAAGCAGATCCCCACTGGCACCCACCTCCCTGCACTGCCCTGGCTGAGGGACTGGTCAGGGTCAGCCCCGAGCTGCCCGCCTGCTCTGCTCTCAGGGCGCTGGCCTGGGGCTCCCAGGAGGGGCCTGGCCCGGGCAGCTCCCCTTACCTGGGCCGTTCACCTCCAGGGCAGGCTGACGTCGGCACCAAGCCACCTTCCAAAGCCAGCCTAGGGCCAGACTGCTAGTCTTCAGCTTTAAAAATATTAGGTTTTAAAATGACAGTTTTTTAAAAATATATTTTTACTGATTTCAGAGAGGAAGGGAGAGGGAGAGAGAGAGAGAGAGAAACATCAATAATGAGAGAGAATCATTGATCGGCTGCCTCCTGCACGCCCCATATTGGGGACCGAGCCCGAAACCCGGGCATGTGCGCTGGACCAGAATTGAACCTGGGACCCTTCAGGCTGCAGGCCGATGCTCTATCCACTGAGCCAAACCGGCTTGGGTGACAATTTTTTTTTAAAGTTAAACTGAGTATATTTATGGTTCTTGTAACCTAACCTAACCCCTGACACGCCAACGTCCCTTGGGGAAGGCCGACAGACCCAGAATGGAGGCAGGGTTCAGCCGTGAGGGGATGGGTGCCCCTGGCACCGAGCGGAGAGGGGCCTTCCCCCTGACACACCCTTTCCGCAGACAGCGAGGGAGGGGGGCCGGGACATCACATGTCCCCTCCCTGTGCTTCAGTATTTTAGAGGCTGAGCCTTGATGTCTCGCTCCTCCTGCTAATTTTGGAAAGGGTAAGGTTCCCAACCCTCAACTATCAGGGCACCATTAAAACCGCTTCCCTGCCTTCCCTGTGCCCGACCAGCAAGGAGCAGGCAGGCATCTGGGGAGCCTGGCTCTAGGCCAGAGGTCCGCTCAAGACCTGTCAGAAGGCGTCTGTTCCCACGGGGGAAGGGCCCTCAGCGAGGGAGGCCAGCAGCCCCTTTTCCAGGCCCCGTCAGGCCCTCCTGTGGCCCCGGCCCAGGCTGTTCCTCTCACTGCTCTCGGACTCCCGCCCAAACCAGCGCTGGACTACGAACCAGCGCGTTACTGCAGGCACCAGAATGGCCTGGGTGTCCTTGCAAAGCATCCTGGGTAATTGCATGTAAATTGCCAGATGGGTGTGAGGCTAATTAAGTTTTAGCAACCAGAAAAACGAGGACCAAAACACAGGCGCAGGGCCCTGTTTGTTTAGAAACATTGCATATGGTGTAACGTCTGTCGCGCTGGCAGTGCCGCGTCCCCGTGTGGTTTCCAATGCTGCCCTGTCTCCCTTGGTTCTGAAATGCCCTGGAGACTCTCCTACAAATTGCACACGGGGCTCCTGGGAAGCCGGGTTCCAGATGTAGTGAGAACATCTGGAAACGGTGTTTCACAGACGAGGCACTGCTGTGGGGTTTCCCCTGACAGGCTCCCACAAGCTTGTTGTGGGAGGAATACAGGGCATCTGTGGGCGTCACGCAGCCCCTCTCAGGTGGCAGGGACTCAACATGTGGTCTAATCATCGCTTGAGTCCTTGCCATGACGTTCTGGGGACGGGACTGACCCCGGACATAGTGTCTCCCGTCGGTGTTTTCCATCGCGAGGCTGGCTGAGAGCATGCTCCATATTGAGCAGAAATGTGTCTCCTCGTGGCTGCTGCCCCCTGGTCCCAGGTGTAGCTTTAGGAGGTGAAGATCGGTCCTGGCTCATCCCCACACCCTCTTCCTCTTGGCTGCTCCTCCTCTGAGGTGATGGAGGGGCTAGACCAGCGAGCACTGCAGCTGGACCTGCGTCCACACTCTCGCCTGCAGGCAGACAGGGCCTTTGGTGGGGGGGCGGGGCGGGGTCAGGGCAGTGGCCTCCAGGGGCGCCAGGCTGAGCCGGGGCTGGCACCCCTCTGGCTCACCACAGGTCTTGCCCGCAGGACATGGGCTTTCCTAGGAGCAGGGAGGAGGCCATTGGTGGCAGCAAGTCTGCAGCTCCGAGCACGCGGGTCTCCGTCCCTGGGACTTCGTGGAGGTGTTGACTGAGTGAAGGACGGTGTCCCTAGTGCTGGGTGTTATGTGGACATTGAAAACGTGTTTTTGAAGTGTCTGTGGGAACTTCCACCTTGGAGGGCTGAGGAAGAGTCCGAGACACGAGTATCCGTATGCACCGAGATCCGTGTGCAGTGGTATCGGGAACACCGGCTTCTTCTTTGGGGTCTGAAACCGGAAGAGCAAGGAACGTAGGTGCCCTAAGATGACAGTGCAGCTGGCAGCACAGGCACGTAAAGCAGTAAAACAGCAGCCTGGCCAGTGCTGAGCGCCCGGCCAGGCCTGTAAGTGCCGGGCGCAGAGGGAGGAGAACCGGGGACTGTGGTGGAGTCGCAGGTGGGCGCTGAGGCCCAGAGGCAGGCACTGCCAGCAGGTGGCACCTCCTCGGCCTCCTTCCTCCCAGGCTTCAAGGGGAGGTGCTGCCCGCACTGCAGTCCCCGCCTTGCCCCTTCCTCCCGCAGCTCCTGCCCCAGGTGATTCTCCGTGGTGGTCTGTGCCTGTGCAGGGCCCCAGAGGGCGGCTCTCCCTGCGGCCCTGGAGTGCCAGGAGCTCAGGGAGCTGGGCTTTGAGAGGCACCTCGGGCCGCGTGGGTCCAGCCTCCGGGACCAACTCGGCTCTGTGGTCACTTAGGAACCTGACGCCTCGGTGGGTGTCCCGGGGCTGGTGTGCAGCAGCTGCTGCCCCGTCTCTGCTGGGCCCTTTGGTCTGAGACACCGTCGTGCACACCATGGGCCCCTTCTAGCACGTTGTTCCCCTTCGCTGCTTTCCCTCGGCCGGCCCGGGGTTACTCGGGGTGATGGCAGGGGCAGGGGCCATGGCAGCGGCGGCTCTGTCTCCCTGGCACCACCCCGGCCTCCAGCCCCCACAGGGAGGGGCATCTGAGCGTCTCACATCTGTTAACTAACTAACTGCACTTGAATATGGGATCGATGCAACAGGTCCTGGAATGCAGCTTCCGGTCGCTGGCCTCTCGGCTGAGCCACAGCAGAGGTCCTGTCCTGGCATCTCTGACTGTGGCCACTTCACTTGAGAACCCAGAGGGCAGGGCCGTGTGTCTCCCTAAGGTACAGACCTGCTGACATGCCAACTGTCAGTTAGAGTTCAGGGTCCAAAGGCAGCCCATCTGTGGACTCCTGGGGTCCCATTCAGGACTCAGGAATTAATTTCCCCAAGGTTGTCCCTCAGGCCGGCAGCTGACTGTGACTGGAAGCCGGGTCTCCTGGCCCAGAGGCACCCTTGCCCCCTTTCCAGGCCCCATGACCCCCTTTCCCAGGAGGGAGCTGTGTCACCCTCGTGCTCAGTGGGTTGCCCGGAGTTGGAGCCTGGCATCGTAGCCAGGGGTAGGTTAGCACGTCGCTCGCAGGTGCCGGCCCGGGGTCAGGCAGACCACCCCATCCACCACGGTGGGCTGGGGTGGCCTTTCTACCGGAGGACGGGGAGAACGAGCACAGGGAGTCAGTCCCCCCGTGAGCTCCTGGCTCTGGGTCGGGGCCCGCCCTGGCCCCCTCTAGGACCGGCAGCTTCCCCCCACCGCCACGCCATGGGGCAGAACTTCCTGCCTCCCGTAACCTGGTCTTGAAACCGGAAAATCCAAGGGTCCAACGCCAGCCTGGTCACTAACGGGAAGCCATTTAAGCAGAAAAAAGGGGAATCATAAAATGGAGCGTTTAT